CACCATTATTACATCCCGAAATCGGATTTTCCGGATCCTTCCCAAACACGGGGTTAATCATGAACAAGGACCCCGATAACTTTCTTGTCACCACTGGGAAACTTGAAGGTTTAGTTTCTATCGGAAATCTGACACTCAAACATACCCGTTTTACGTGAAGTGGAGTAAAACTCCGTGAAAAAAAGCGATATTCGCGCTATACACTAGTCGTAAAATATGTTTTCCATATATTATTAACTCCATATAACTATATTATGAAATAGTTTTATATTATAGACTATGGAGTTTCACCACCCGTTTTACGTGAAGTGGCGTAAAACTCCGTGAAAAAACGCGATATTCGCGCCTTGAAATTTGTTTTTCACATCACTAGAGCGAATCACCATTTGACGTTGTTCCCATATATCACCCTTTTATGAAATCGTTGAGTCCTATCGTAGGAGCGAGCAGCCACGTGATGAGAAAAGATGCCGCGGCGGTAATTACCAAGTCGCCACAGATAGTAGACGGCCAAGCCCATACACCTGAATATGTTGGCTTTACTCAACTGAGCTCGTACGTAAGTACAAAAACTACGTCGAAGCTAAGCGTAGGAGTTTCCAGGATATGCTCAAAATTTTATCGAGCATACATTTTCCTCATTATTTCATGGCAAAAAAAATCACACGATTTTGGGTATAAGTATACAAAAACCAACGATAATTCCTCAAAATTTCCATATTCCTAGCAACACATGTAGTTGACCATGTGCATATATTGCCGCACTGACCTCAACACAAACGACAACAATCGAAACTGATGAAAACTGATGCGCTCTAGTGAAAAACATATTTCACGATTTCGCGTAAAACGTACCGCGGGCAGAATTAACAGCAATTGTTGAATAAAATTCAACTCCACTATTGAAATTTCGAGCGCTCAAACTGCCTCAAAAATCAGACCATCTTCATCTTGCTACAGTGCTGAGTGCCAATTTGATATGTGTGTTTTCTATTCCGGGATTAATGATAGTGAACAACTTGTCGCTATCATAGTCTCGAAAGGTTACTTTTATCACATCACATGTTCATAGCAATGTTTACATTGTTTATGCGATATAGTTTCAGATCGATTCTTATTACACTCGGAAAATAACACGTCATATGTGAAGTCTCCGACGGGCGGAGACTTCATATAGTCATCGAGGGACTCGAAATGTTCCCGGAGGGAACGAATTGTGGACTTTCAAAACGGCTAGGAACATATTTTCGGCCAATTTTGTATAGCGCGAATATCGCGTTTTTTCACATGGAGTTTTACGCCACTTCACGTAAAACTGGAGTCGAATTTTGGACTTTCAAAACGGCTAGGAACATATTTTCGGCCAATTTTCGGGATTTTCCCCATTGGAACATTTTTCCTAGTCTCAGCGGGACCTTAGGAACGTTATTTCAGAGAGCTGGATGACTCCACTATATGGAAACGACATCAACTTTTTCCTACCGGTTTCCGCCGCAATATCAGGAGGGTACATCGCATACGCTACTCCAACATTAATAGCAGTAGCAATCACCAACGAAACCACGCACGTAGATAGCTGAGAAGAACAAGCACATTGTATCAAACACTCTACATAGAGGCTACAAAATAGAACCATAGGGGTATTCGCAACAGTGGCTTCTTAGTGTGCCTGATGACGGGGGTCTCAGAAGCTTCCTCATTAGTATTCATAATTTATCAACGAAAAAAATAAAGAAAACTGAAAACTATGAAGAAAACTATAAAGAAACTAAAAAAATTATAAAGAACACTGCAACGAAAACTAAAAAGAAAACTGTAAAGAAAAATTTGAAGAAACTATAAAGAAACTACAAATAAAACTATAGAGAAAACTATAAAGAAGACTAAAAAAACTATAAAGAACGCTACAAGGAAAACTAAAAAGAAAACTGTAAAGAAAAATATGAAGAAACTATAAAGAACTATAAAGAACACTACAAAGAAAACTAAAAAGAAAAATAAGAAAACTAAAAAGAAAACTGCAAAGAAAACTATAAAAAACTATAAAGAAAAGTGGAAGCCAGATGGAAATCGTTTGAAAAAAATATATTGCTAAATTGAAAACAGCAGCACCGAATTCATTCCGGATAATTTTCCAACAATTTTTGTTGAACAAAACTAAGCGTCTGCGAAATCAGTCCAAACGTTGTTTGGAGTATACGTGAAAGCAAATACATGAAAAAAAAATATAATAGGACTCGAACGGAATGAATCTACTAATATCTACTAGTAGAGAACCTTGTGGGGTTGCGATGAGGACGACGGCGCCGACATTGGCTAACGCGAGGCAGAGAAGAAGAAGGGAAACTTGAGCCAAGATGGCTACAGTTATGAACTACGGCTACCTCGCAGTAATCATGCTCTAAGTCCCGCTATGTGGCTGCGTACTAGTGTCCTGTGACGACAGTACCATTGAGGAAACTCAAGTGAGCAAGATCGTATCTAACCGTTTCACCGTTTCGCTATTTCAGTAACGGTCGCGGTTCGCGAATTAGATTTTTCAGAATTTTTCAAATTTTTTCCGAATTTTTCAGTCACTGACGTGAGAATATCTTGCTATCTTACCATTATTCAAGTAGCACGTATGACTATGTGACGCAAAGGTTAAGTTTTCATATAAGGATATTAACCAAAAACTACCCTTGTGTATGAGTACTAGTGGGATGGAACCAGCCAACCAAATACACGTTTACTCAAGGAACTTTGCGATCTCTCAAGGACGTTTTTCTCGCTCGCCCTTATCGTTTCGAGCTCGTCCATTTGACAACTCTCGAGGAATTCTGACAATCCTCAAGGATGAGAGCCATCACTTGGATAAGGCCCATCTCCTAGGTAAGAGCCGTCGGGTTTCCGTGGGTATAAACCCTTACAACCTACGTATATCTATTTCTCCCTATTTCCTCACCCCCCCCATATTAGAAACGAACGATGTTAATGAACATGGTTTATATTGTGACACCTTCTGAGTGAATTCATAACGACGATTAACGCAACACACTAAAATGACGGAAATTGACAAAGCAGGTTCGCCGAGAAAGTATATCATTCACGTTTAGAAAGCTCCAAGATCTTCATCATCGAAAACAAACTCATCGTCGTCGTCGAGGAACAGCCCCTTAGCCTGAGCGCCTCTGCTCGTCCTCATGTTGATGGGGAATTGACCCTCTTTGGGGGGTCGAAGTCATCTCGATAAGCCCCTCAGGGGGCACTGCACCTCGAAACCAAGGTGTTGATAGAAGTAGCAACCTGAACGAAATCGAATCATCGATTTTCGAAATCCATTGGAGACAAGTACTAAACATAGACTTCAACATTGGGGTTTTACCCTAGTGATATGAGGACACTAGTTGCGAGCGAGCGGAGCATATACGCACACAGCACTTCGCGTTGTGCGTGCGTGCGTGCA